AAGGTTTTCATCTATCAAACGGTGTATTGTATAACATTGTGTTCTGAACAGATAACCGTCAATTTCACTCTTAACGACTAGCTTGGATGAATTTATAACGTCTCTTGTCACATAGTTAGAAAGCCAGGAAAATTTTTAGAAATAAATGAATTTGTCTACTTTTTGTATGTTATTAGTCTATATTCTTTGGTGTATTATTTAATTAAATAAAAATTGTTAAGTGTTTTACTATAATCACTCAAAAAATATCCTCGACAATCAAGGGCAAGAAAAAAAGAAGATTGGGTAAGTACTTTATTTCTTGTTTTTCACGTTTATTCTTTATGTAAAATTATAAAAGTAACTAAAATGTAAAAATAGGAATCCTTTTAGGTTTGTTAAGATTAGATAAGGTGAAATAAATGATAATAATATTATAATGAAAATGTTTCATGAGGCACACACGAGAGCAGCTCGTGGGTAATGTAAGTGTTAGCATAATGTGAGCTACACGTGTCCCAAGCAATTTACAACTTATAATGGTGCGTATAGTAGTTAAACCAGGTTCAAAGGGCATTAAAATAATAAAATTTAATTATAAATAGATGTATATTGTTATGAACTTAGAGCTACTTAGAATAAACGAATGTAGTTTCATGTTACAATTTGACGTCATTCTAGAAAGATCAAAAAGGGTAATTTAGGTTTATTTTGATTTTTATTATGGTAACGAGGTCAGTCAAATTGACCGATCCTGTTTTGAGATAGTTTATCTGTTATTTTCTCTACCCTATAAAGTTTTACTGAAAAAAAAAAAAAAACGTTTGACATGCATTTAGGAGGTTTTAGGGATTACACAAAGGAAATTTGAGATGATGAAAAGTATTTTTAATTTTAACATGAAAATTACTTTGCACACGGACTATTCAAAACAAATACTCAATATATTCGTGGACAAAACTTTATTTTATTTTATTAAAATACTTTACTAAGAAATATGACTTTTTGTATGTGAAAGACTTATAATATTAACTGAAAGACTGCCAAAATTTGTGAAGATATACCCAATATATAGAGTTATAAGTATTAAATTTATATGAACTTTAAACGAGTACAGAAGGTCATGTGACTCGGTCAAATTGACCAACTCTGTGTTGGAAGAGTTAAAATTTGATTTTATTTGGTTTTTGTCATGTGTTTGGCCTACATATTTTAGATTGGGAAAATATTTAGACAGAGGAAAGAATATGTGAAAGGCATTGTTAATGGACTGCACCTATCTAAAAAATTTTTGAATGATGTTTCGAGCAGCTAACATAGATATTCATCAGGTGAAGTTTTGCTTTAGCAGCTCAAAAACTTTGATCAAAACTTTATAAACAGATGCAGTCCATTAAAAATGCCATTGAAGTTATATTGATATTTACCTCCTTTTTTATTTTTCAAGCCACCCATTATATGACCTACCACACCATCCTCAGAACTTCCAAGGACTTCTATAAAGCTCTGGAGTTATCTCGTTATATCTCGGATAAACTGACAGAACAGGTCAGAATTGACCCAACAGATTCAAATGTCCGTGTGTTTCCCTACAGGTAACTTGTTTATTTTGGCTTTTAACAAGTTATTAAAAACATAAATAGAAGTCGAGCTGCATAAAGTTTAAAAATGAATCAGTATTGATTAAAGGGAAAAAATTGTTAAAATCAGTTTGTTTATTTATGAACAAAATCTGACTCCAAATTATTTGAATAAGAAATTTGTTTACAAATTAAATACTAATATATGTTTACCCCAAATTAATTTTAAAACACAAACTATTAAGGCCTATAGCAATAACGTTTTAAACACTTGAAATGGTCCTACTTATAAAGTATTATGGTAATTTAACTTGGTATTTTTCTCTTTAGCATTGTCCATGTGTTTTATGAACAATACCTCACTATGTGGCCTGATACACTGAAGAGCTTAGGGTTCTCACTGGCTGCCATATTTGTTGTTACTTTCCTGTTGCTTGGACTGGACTTCTTCTCATCAGCCATTGTTGTGATTACCATTGTGATGATCATTATTAACTTGATGGGGATGATGTACTGGTGGAACATTTCACTTAATGCTGTCTCTTTAGTCAACTTGGTTGTGGTAACTGAAATTCACTTCACCCAGATTACTAATGGCTTTAGTGAACCAAATTTTATTCTTTCTTTTTAAATTTTGAGATAGTAAGGACACATCTCATTTTCCATGATGTTTTTACTACATTGTATACATATGAATAAAATACTAAATATCTCTTCTTTTGTTGTCAAGATATTAACCCTTTCGAGACGGGTTCACAGGTGAAAGGCCATATCTTGTTTCATGACTCTCATTCAACATTTTGTTTAACTACTATTTCATGAATTTATGTCAATAAGTTTGGTATCAAACTGTAGATTATAATTCAAATTTTAATACAATACATTACTCAATTTCTTACTTTAAAAATAAATATGGAAAAAAAACAGTTAAATCTCGTTTTTTTTGTGTCGTATGGTATGTTGAATGCAGCAGTGGTTCAAATTAGATGTTTGTGAAGTCAAAATACTAAGTCTATAGTTTTGTACGAATTAGGAACTCAAATTACTTATATTGAAAAGCTAGAATATAAAATAAGAAGGTCTTATCTTTTCTATTTGCTAAGATATTGCTCATGTAATAAATCAAGCACAGTGGCACCCCACCCACCTCTTTCCATTTTTGGAAATGCTTTCTTATATACACTTCTATATATGACATGAATAACCAATCGTAAGCTAAGAATATCCCTCTAGTGGTTTTCTCAGCCATTTTAAATTCTTAGGATGCCATTCTTTCTTTTGAACCAAGATTTCAAGGAGGTAAGGTGTGTCTCTAGTCTGCTCGAAATTTCATATTTCTTTAGACTAAAATACATCTTAGTTACTAAGCTTGATAAATTATAGTGGAATTGTGTGGTATTGATGTAGTAATTTATGATTTTTTAGTTATTCAAATATATATATATAAAATCTAAAAAAATATTTTGTTTCATATCCTCCACATGCAAAATTTTTAAAGGCTTAACAACCTACATCAAGCAGCAACTGAGTACGAAGGTTGTAACTGGAAGAGATAATTGTTTGCTTTACTACTTTATTTCCTGTTCTATGTTTTAAGAAAAATAAATTTAAGAACTTATTTCAAAATAGCAATAATCTATATACACATAATGTATAAAAATTGAAATGTGACTGTATTTTACAAAATACTAGTCTACTAAACCACAGTCAAGACAAGTTACTTTGTACAGACCAAAGGTCTGTGTTATGTTATTTGATATGGTAACATGAGTGCACATGAGCCACGTCATTGTAACTTCTGTATTGTTAGCCAGGCATGGCTGAAAGGTCAACATAATAAAAATAATAAATATATATATATAAATGTGTAATGTTATGACATTTAAGCTATTTAGTCTAAACATTTGTTTTTGTTATAATTTTGTTCATTCCAGAATGAAAGAGGCATAATTTATATTTATTTCCTAATTTTTTTTATGGTGGTTGCAAGATCGGTCAAATCTAGTGAACCTGTACAGAGATTAATTACTGAAAATAACAGATAAAAAATAAAGTGTTTTGTTAAGAAACATTTGATAATCATCTGGAAATTATAAAGATTTCATGAAATTTTTAAATTTTCTTGCACATAAAAGTATTTTTAATCTTAAAATGAAATATACTTTGCAAGAAAGAAAGGCAACATGTGAAAAGAAAAATAGGCATGAGAAAAACATTGATTTACAAACCTTAAGTCTTAATAAAAGGATTTGATATTTTGCAAGATAGAAAGGCAACATGTGAAAAGAAAAATTGGCATGAGAAAAACATTGATTTACAAACCTTAAGTCTTAATAAAAGGATTTGATATTTTGCATATGAAAGCATTGTAACGTTTACTGATAATCTGCCAAATTTCATTAACATTCGCTTACTAACTTAAAAGCTATAGCATAAACTATAACAAGCACAAAATGGTTAAGAGGGTTGGTTTCAGGGACCAAGCCCGTGCTGAAAGAGTTAATAACAAACTAGCCTTAGTTAAAGCAAAATTTTGTTTGCAAGTTAAGAATAAATGTATTTAAGAATGCACAAGTAAATGTTTATCTTCACTTATATAGGCTGTTGGTATTTCCGTGGAATTCTGTTCTCATCTTACACGGCTGTTTGCTATTAGTCCTGCTGCTACACGCACCAAACGAGCACAGGATGCACTAGAACGCATTGGAAGCTCTGTAAGTGGAAACTTTCTGTTCATAGTGAAGAAAGTTGTTGAGTAATCTTTTAATCTTAGAATCGTTTTTTGCTTTTATATAGCAAATGTAGATAAGACCAATAATTTAAAAACACGTTTTATTTTGTTAAAAGTACTCTGATAGAGTTTTTTTATATGGATAGACACTAAACCTTGATGTATTAAATTAAACTTTTAAACATTATTATCACCTTTAGTTGTTTGATCTAAGTTGCTTAATTATCCTGAACACATTAGCCTGATACTAAATTTATAAATTTTTTCAAATACACTGAGTGGTCACAAGTAAATAGACACCTAATTTTTCGTCATTTAACTGATTTATGCTAACTAATATTTGTTCACAGAGCACTATATAAATGAAAATGGTCCGCACACTAATTATCTTGTGT